TCGGAGTTGCGGCTGAGAGCAGAGGGCAAACTTATGTAAAAGCAAATGTTCAGACACGAGAACTGTACAGACATAGTGGAATTTCTCTCAAGGCTAAACACAACCTTTGAGTCCGTGTTAGAATGTGTTGGTGCAGGTGTGTGGCAGCAGGGGTGAAGCAGCAGGGGTGAAGCAGCAGAAGGGACACTTTGGCATTCAGCTCAACACCTAGACGCGGAGGAAGGCGAGGCTGTTGTCACCATCAATACCATTACTTCTACCACACCAGAAAAAATCTAAAAGCTTAAACGCAAAAACAAACACAAATATGAAATCAGAAAAAACAAAAAATAGAATATATATAAAATGTCACAACTACAATAAAAAAACGACCTCCTCCCCCTCAAAAAATCATTAAACGATATTAAACAAACAAATGAAACACGATATAGCCACAGCATCATAAACTGAGAAAAATAACGAAAACTAATACTATATTAAGAATATTGACTCTACTAAACCACGAAATCCATCAAATATTAGACTCGTGCATAATAAAAAGTTCCCATCATACAGAAGAATCCAAGAAGAGCCTTTACAACACACAAATACCTATAAGAAACGAAGAAATTGTCAGAAATTGTAAAATATTCAATAAACATCGTACTATACAATTGTCACCTCACGAAGTCAACAGTCATGCCCTATGATGTCAATGCCACTAACCTGACTTTGTTACATACCTCAGAAAACAGACCACCTGAAGAATCACCACCCCAGCTTATTTCACTTAAAGATTAACCACCCTCACGCTAACCTAACCTAACCTCATTCCCCCCAAATAGTGTTAGGGTCGTGCCATTGAACTGTTTCAGAAACTATCGCTAAAGACAAAATAACTCCTCAAACAAATAACTTCTCAGTTCCACTAAGACAACGGGGACAATGTTCCTCCTACAAGTGGGGACCTGTGCGTGTGTCGCCTCAAGGTACAGTCTGCCAGGGACTAAAACTTCACACACCGCCGCGTCACGGGAGTTATTACACCGGTCCAACGAAACAAGCTTTCATCTTCATTCTCTTCCTCTTGTCCTCCGAGGCCAGACAAAAGACTCCTACACACACACACACACACACACACACACAGACAGACTCTCTCTCTCTCTCTCTCTCTCTCAAAGAAACAAGAAAATCCGACTGGGTGTTTCAAATTTCACCAAGAAAGTAATACAAAAAAATAAAAACCCTCCTTAGCCATGCATTAGCTGACGCAGACAGCACCACCACCCGGAGCTCATCTTCCCTTGAGGTATGTACCGACGTTACCCAGAACTTGAAATGCAGTTAGTCAAGATTTCCATCGCCATGCATACATTATCCTGTCATCACACCCCGCAGACATTCTCCTCCACACAGTTACACCAAATTAGTATTATTAACAGAACGCAGGCGAGGTGCACTGTGATTATTATTTAACAGCAATATCGATCTTCAGGTTAATTTGCATTCAAGGTAAACTTTTTGGAGTACTTTTGAGGAAACGTTCACAAATGCACCTGGAACAAACATACATAAACACATACAAACATAAACATACACCTGGGATAAACATACACAAACATACACCTGGGATAAACATACACAAACATACACCTGGGATAAACATGCACAAACATACACCTGGGATAAACATGCACAAACATACACCTGGGATAAACATGCACAAACATACACCTGGGATAAACATGCACAAACATACACCTGGGATAAACATACACAAACATACACCTGGGATAAACATGCACAAACATACACCTGGGATAAACATACACCTGGGATGCACAAACATACACCTGGGATAAACATACACAAACATACACCTGGGATAAACATGCACAAACATACACCTGGGATAAACATGCACAAACATACACCTGATAAACATGCACAAACATACACCTGGGATAAACATGCACAAACATACACCTGGGATAAACATGCACAAACATACACCTGGGATAAACATGCACAAACATACACCTGGGATAAACATGCACAAACATACACCTGGGATAAACATACACAAACATACACCTGGGATAAACATGCACAAACATACACCTGGGATAAACATACACCTGGGATAACAAGCACAAACACACCTCGAGACGAATATTACAACTCAAAAGTAGATATTAAACACTAGACAAGGTAGCTATTTAACACTAAAGGTAGACATTTAATACTAGAAAAAGTAGTAGGTAGTAGGCAGCTACCAAACAGGGAAGTACTGCCGCCTGGGAAAATATTGGAAGCATAATGTGTTGTCTAATGGTAGACCCTGCTGCTGTATGGCATCACGAAAATTGTGACCAAGTCCCAGGTTGCTGATCTGACTTTCTGCCTCATTTACACACAATTGCAGGGTCTCAATTGTTTCTCTTACTTTGACAACACAACATACACAATGTATATTGTTTCTCATTCTTGATTAATTTTTTTCGTTTTTGTATTTATTTATGGTTGATATTATTTTTAGTACAGGTATATTGTTATTATTTTTTAATTATTATAATAATAATAATAGTTAATATTATTTTTTTTTTCCGATGTTTACTCACACATTGATTGATTGATTGAAACATTTTATTTAGCCAGAAAAATACAGATACAGAGTGGATAATAATAATATTAACATGGATGAGTCAGTGCTCTAATTGAGGCACCTGATAATTAATTATATACTATACATTTATCTCAAGGAAGTATTATGTAACATTTAGTATCATCTGGAATAGTACAATAGCATGGTGGTAATAAGAACATCTCATAATGTTACCACGGTTGTCACTTCAATAATTATTTATTTTATTATTATTATTTTTTTATTCAATTTCAATTTCAATTGTTTATTCCTTGATAGAGGAAGCGGGATCCTAGTGCTGTCACTAGGTACCCCTGTACAATGACACCAGAAGCATCTGGCAAGTGTGACAAGTATATACAGTATAAATATTATAAAGGGGCTTACTAAAGCCTAAGGAAGGAAGGATATTTCTTTAACACATAATCAATATTATTTACAAAATATCTGGCCAGTATGGGGAGGATCATCGTGTCTCCGTCAGGGGGTCGTGGAGTGGTGGTCCAGCAGGCGTCACGGAAGCGTTGTGTGTGGGGACATCTTAGGAGGTAGTGGATAAGGGTGTTGCTGTCGGGTCTTCTGCATAATGCACAAGAGCGTTGCTCAGGGGACGCGGGGATACCAATCTCCCAAGCAAAGTCATACCCAATGATGATACGGGCAGATTTTTTTTTTTATATTTACACACACACACATATATATATATATATATATATATATATATATATATATATATATATATATATATATATATATATATATATATATATATATATATATATATATATACATACATATACATATAAATTAGAGTGGAATTTAAAAACATAAGTATAATGGGGGAGCAGTACAACCTGGGTTTTATAGTAATAAGGTTGAACAAGAGGACAGAGCTTTCAGGATTATGTCTAGTTGGCAATTATGTATATTGCAATGGTAATTACTTATCTATTTACATGATAATTTCCGATAAAACGGATTTGATGGTACAATAAAAGCAGGTACTGTAAATATAGTAAGTGTTACAAGAAATATTAATACTTCGACAATAGATATTTTTTAGAGATGATTTAAAGGAAGGGAGCGTAGTCTTTGCTGGGATGGGTGGGGGTAAGTTGTTCCACACCTTCACACAGTGATATTTTATGGAGGTCTGGGACTGAGAGGAGCACATGGTGGGTGGTCTTAGTAGCTCTGGGTGCCTTAAGTTGTATCTCTGATTATTCCGGAACTGGAAGTAATTATTGTCAAGCAAGTGATTGATAGATTTGTAAACAAAGAGGGCACAGCAGTAAATGTTAATATCCTCGAATTTTAAAAAATTCAATATAGCAAATTTTTCGTTTGTGTGATCTGTTTTTTTCAAGTAGGTCATTGTCCGTACAACTCTCTTTTGTGCAGTAACCAGAGATTGTGTTTTTGAAGAGCCAGAGGCCCCCCATAGTGTGTATCAGGTGTTGGTAAACAAGATCATGATAGATTTCTTTCATTGCTGTGAGAGTGAGTAACTGTCCAGTGTGATACATGATACCGCACTGTTTATTGATTTTTATTCCGGTAAAATTTTAGTTTCGGTCATCCCTGTATTGAAATATCCAAACTAATATAATCAAACCAACCTAACGTAACCTAACCTAACCGATTCCCCGGGTGACCGAAATTAAAATAATATCCTTATTCCACTTATAAATATCTGCCATTAGGTGAAAATATCCATCATATTGTGGACAACGATATCGAGGAACAAATTGGTGACCCTTAACTAAACGACTTGTCACGCTGTTAACTCGTTTCCACCTCATTTGCATACCTACACTGCCACGCTCTGGACAACACGGCCGCCAAGTCACCTTACCGTTAATATTTACCCCAATATCAAGGATTTACTGTAACTGGGATGAGTGCATGTACTGGATGTTAATAAAGAGCTCTGTAGTGCTTTAAATTTTCATACGCTCGATCTATATTGCCTTTTTAGGGAATTTATTACACAATCAACCTAACATTACTGGTTGGCTTCATTAAATTTTCCAATTACGTATTTTCTAATGTTGAAATTCGAGTTATTATTGATTATAAATTTGTGGCACCACTAAAATTATACTAAAGAGTTTCCGTTAAAAAAAATGCCTTTTTTTTATAAATTTTATGTTGTCAAACAGTCATTGTCGTCAGGAAAACAATTCATAAGAACAATAAAGTCACGTAACCTCGATATATTACTTTACATCATCACAAATACCTTCTCACAGCTTCTAAATTAGAGTTGGGTCCTACAGACCACTCCGTCAGGCCGGGTTCTTCACCAACTGGACGTGAATATTTAAACAACCTTTTCTTTAAAAGCCTACTGACGTCACGAGGACATTGGCCTTACCTGCTGAATGTTTCCTGAAGTGTGGCCGGAGACCTCTTCAGCACCAGCAGGCAGCAGGTCCGGCGGCTCAGGCCAGGCAAGGATGCTGGTTCTCTCCTCCCAGATGACCCTCACAGCCTCCACCACAAACACAACTCTGGAAATTTCGTTTTCAAATGCTCACTGTTTTTTTAACCTTTTATAATATTCCGATTGTAATTCTTTTCCATTTAGTGCTTGGTCTTCTATCTAAGGTAATATTCTAATGGCGTAATTGGTTCAAGCGAGTAAGAACAAGAGCCACAGGTGGTGAGGAAGGGCGGCGCAACCACCCACTACCACGGTCGACGGCACTCTGAGCTCAGCTGAACCTGACAGTCCGACACAGTCACCGAGACACCAACTCACACACCACTCATTCACCATCTCGCGCAAATCACCGTAACTAAACATTCACCAATTCCCTTTCTTTCCTTTAACATATTCACAATTTACTTTTCTCTAATAAAAAGAATAAAATAAAATCTATAAACGAAATAATTATCATATATAATTTAACCATAGAGAATTGTGGTACGTTGTTTTTATATAAATGAACAGAACATTTAGAGCAGGGAAGTACGGTGATAGAGCCTCGCCTGTTGCACAACAATATGTATAAACTCACATAAGACGGAGTAGCCTTATCATCACAGTAGCACTCATTGTTTCAAATCCTCTTTTATGCTTATCCGCACATGCGCCCGTGTCTCGTTCCCGCCTCTCAACACCAGCCGCCTTACCAAGGAACCAATAGAAACGCAGAAGAAAAAGATATCAGAGTATCCATTGGTGGAGCGCTCAGCCGTACTCGCCTCGCCAGTGTTTCTGAAACAGGATGATCAATAGTGTTGGTACCCACAGGACACGTGAGACCTGGCTCTAAAGTTCCGATAAAAGAGGTTAATGAATGATGCATAACCTATCATTCTCAAGAGCAATTTATACCTCAGTAATACTAGGCCATCAGTCTGTGTCGTCCATTATAAAATGCAACGAAAACTTAAAGCCGCATTACAACAAGAGTTTTATTAGACCTTAACATGAAGTTATTTTATTGTTAATTTGAAACAGACATTATAATTTAATCAAGTAATAGAATACATTGTAATTAGGTTTACATCATTTATTACGAAAAATTTACTTACTTTCACTTTTATATGACCCAATTTTATTTTACTACCAGACATTGTTATTGCAATATAATTAATCAATGTGGCTTATTAAGGACTCACTGTATTTAATAATAATTAAGAAAAATAATTTGCGCCGTAAATCATGTAGTGCGCTCTCTTGGCGTTTCCAAGAAAGAGGTGATACTTCCGTTCAATAGTACCTTACCTGCTGAATGGGTTCCATTTTCTGTGACGCAAAGTATGTAAATAATAACACCATTTTCCTTCATGTACTACAAGTAAACAACATTCGCAATTCTACGATGCTCTATATGTAAACAATACTCTCATTTCCTGTGATGTACTGAGGCTAAACAATGATTCCCGTTTTCTATGCCACAAAACACTTTACATTTTAATTTTCTGTGACAAAGGTCATTAAACACTCACAATGTCTGTGTCGCACAGTACGCAAACACCATTCTCAGTTTCTGTGATTTGCAACATGTAAACACTCCCATTTTCTGTGACGCATTAAATGTAAATGGATGTTTCCACATTCGATGTTGATACATTACATATAAAATCATGTAAAATTTTCACGAGTAATATACTGAACGCAATTTTCTCATCCACGGTATATGCAAACAAACTTTCTAGTCTAGTACACAACGCATCATAATATTTTTAAATTGTGTTTATTTTTCAAATCTTTTCAACATTTACCATAACTGTTAATAAATAACTTAATACAATGAACTACTATTAAAAAAAGGGTAAAACTTATATTCAAGTTATCCAATTCCTGTACATTAACTTTTTCGCCTTACATCAGTCTTTTAACACACACACACACCTTAATATCCGTGGATCTGGTGGAATAACAGTATCTTACTTACGTCGCCTGTTCTTCACCATAGACAGTAACAAGATCCTTTTTAAGTATTATAAGAAATATCTGTCAAACATTACGAGCCTTTCAGCACTCTGAGAACCTCAATATCTTAATAATAATCATTGCTCACTATGGACACCGTGAGCAATCCATAAAAAAATAATACTTCAAACGTTTTCTGTTGCCCATAAGAATTCATTTTCTTTTGCCTTTCGGTGCTACAGGGGGTAACTTTCTCTTCGATTCTAAAACATCTCGATAAGCCATTCACATGGAAGAGGGAGATGGGGAAACAAATATTCACTATAAAAGTTCACTGTAATATTCCAACTTCAACCAGTAGAAAATAAAACAGGCTGCAGTAGGTTTATAGTTACGGTAAATCCTAGACCTAAGTCACCTACATATAAGTCTACAGGAATCTTAGAATGCACCAACAATTTAAATAAAATATGTGCATAAGGTCGAGTTGTTCATCGTTTTTTATTTCCCGGATTTACAATAGATACAAGAAGATACGTGATCGAAACTTGTATATGTATGAGCAATCAAAAACTCCATCGTGTTCACAACAAAATAAGTACTGTAGTGCATTAGGCAGAATTCGCATAAAAATTCCATTCAAGCCAGTATTGGAATGACATGTGACCGTTTTAATGACACAACCAGTAAACTAAATCTATCTTCATCCCCTACAACTAAATGATAACATACAATATACAAGTGATCATTTTGTAAATATACTTTACCATAAATTCAGTATTATTGATTAATTGATGCATATAATTCCCATTCAGTTCTTTTCTACAGCATCCATTGATCACGCCGATAACAAAATAAAACTGAACTGCAATATAATTAACTCATAGCTGTAAAATAAGTAGTGTTTCCAAGGCATTATTCTGAACAAATTGTCTTTCGTTTATCCTGTTAAACCATAACAAAAAACGAATCCTACTAAGTCTAAGAAAACGGTAAGTTTTGAAGCAGTAACTAAAGAAGTTTGTGTCTCCATCGGTCAACTCGTTGACTTGAGTTTGCGATTTTGTCATTTGTTAATTTAGTTACCAGTCAGAGGATCACACATTTTGGGTTTTCACCGACAAGAAGTATCAGTTACTCACAGACTCTAAATACATAAACATTATCGAACGACCAAAATATGGGAAAGGGTCTCGGAAAGGGGACGTGATTGCTGCACGTATCATCATTGGGTATGACTTTGCTTGGGAGATTGGTATCCCCGCATCCCCTGAGCAACGCTCTTGTGCATTATGCAGAAGACCCGACAGCAGCACCCTTATCCACTACCTCCTAAGATGTCCCTAAAAACAACGCTTCCGTGACGCCTGCTGGACCACCACTCCACGACCCCCTGACGGAGACATGATGATCCTCCCCATACTGGCCAGATATTTTGTAAATAATATTGATTATGTGTTAAAGGAATATCCTTCCTTCCTTAGGCTTTAGTAAGCCCCTTTATAATATTTATACTGTATATACTTGTCACACTTGCCAGATGCTTCTGGTGTCATTGTACAGGGGTACCTAGTGACAGCACTAGGATCCCGCTTCCTCTATCAAGGAATAAACAATTGAAATTGAAATTGAACGACCAAAAAACTTTTCCCTGACCTCAAAAGAGTTTGCACATTGCATTTTTAATATTAACGTAAAATACACACATTACTCCCAGGGGACACGTGAGTGAAACCAAATAAACAATGAACGAAAACAAAACGTAATATTCACAAAATCGAGGACATTGTTGTGTGTTTGTGTGTGCATGTTTTTGTGTGTGTGTACGTGAGTGTATGTGTGTGTACGTGTGTGTCTGTGTGTTCCTCCTCGACCACCATCACCACCACACTCACCAAAGTCATAACTAAATATTTCCAAACTTAAAAAAGGATACATATATTCATACAACTCATAAATACTTTTTTATTCAATATATTTAAGAAAATTGTTTACATGAGAATAAAACACATAAAGAAAGTATGAAAGTTTACAATAAAGCTAATCAGGTGATTAGTCAGGTGAAATGAGCAGAGGTTTCTAGTCTTCATGTGATCCTGAGAGTCTTTATAAAGTAGGAGAAGAAACTGACATCATGGGGAGTAAATCTGACTTTCTCGAGGTAAGAAGAGTCTGGTATCACTTGTTATATGAGAGTTGTGTTCGTGTGGGGGAGTGAGTGTCAGTGACCTTGCCCTGACGTCACTAGTTCTCAGGTAATCAATCAATCAATGATATGGTTGTGCTGGGACCACTCCCCACACACGCGCGCACATACATACACACACTAACACAACAAAATATACACACAGTCACAAAACACACACACACACACACACAAAACAAAAATAAAAGCAACAGAAACTTAGACAAATAAAAAAGAAACACACACACACAAAAGAGAACTCACACTAACACACACACGAGAGTCACCTCACTCCCCAGCTGACAACTAGTATGGGGTCAGATTTACAGAACCTTACTGTTTTGACTCATATAAGGAGAACTTCCCTCCTCGTGGACACAGTTGTGAGTGTCCTCCCTCACTAGTAAGGGGAGCTCGTAGGTCGTGGCCACAGTTGTGCGTGTCGTCACTCACTAGTACGGGGAGCTCGTAGGTCGTGGCCACAGTTGTGCGTGTCGTCCCTCACTAGTACGGGGAGTTCCTAGGTCGTGGCCACAGTTGTGCGTGTCGTCCCTCACTAGTACGGGGATCTCCTAGGACGTGGCCACAATTGTACGTGTCATAATAGTCTAGAGATGTTAATTCGGTGTTTTTATGGCTTCGGTCATGCAGCGAATTTTAGGATCCTAAGTTTAGGTTACGTTACGTTAGGTTAGGTTAGATTAGGTTACGTTGAAGTTATGTTTTTTCAGATGGATTTTGATATGTTTTGAACGACTTCCAAATAGGTGCATGACCGAAACGATAATTTTGCCACTAATTCACTACCACTGTCATCCACACACAATATCTTCTCGCGTTATAAAAAATATACATCACTAATAATCCAAACTCACGTCTTCCATTAAGAAATCTTCAGTACTTGCTAATGTCTCTCCCGTGAGGAACACAGAACAGGTTGACAGGCACTAAATTAATGAACAATCCAATAATCGGATCACCTGGAGAGTAACCCCCCCCCCCAGCTTATTCCACCTGATGATTAACCACCCTAACGCTACCTGGGGGGATTAAGCGAGCTTCAGTTTAGATCAGGCGAGGTTTAGCAAGCGTTTGGTTAGGTTAGGTTATGTTAGGTTAGAATAGAATAGGTTAAATTACGCTACATTTGGAAATGAAAGATTAGACTATATTAGGATATGTAAAATTAGGTTAGATTAGATTAAATTAGGTTAAGTTAGGTTAAGTTAGATTAGGTATAGGGTGTTATATCATGAAGAGGAATAACCTGCTTTGACTAATCTTCAAGTGAACCCACAAAGATTCTCCTCAAGCCGACAAACGTTCACAAATATTTCCTGGAAGCATCTCAAGAACTCACTGTCTCCATCTCGACTACTTGAAGGACTTCAGAAAGATAAATCTATAGGACATATATCAAAGGCCTTTATAGGAAAACATCCACAATAGTCGTCTGTATACGCCTCTTAGAACTTCCAGCCATAGGCAGTGAGTTCAGTGTCGAAGTTCTCCTATAGTTGGAATTTTAACCATAGGTAGTGAATTCAAGGTCGAACTTTTCTTTCTTAAACCATTTTAAAACTTCCAGCCATAGGTAATCAGTTCAAGGTCGAGGTTCTCATGTCTGTACTTGAGCTTGAGGGACTCCAACTGGGCGAGGCGGTCCTTGGGCAGCATCTTGAGGGCGAGGCGACGCAGGTAAGGGCAGGAGGTCACCAGGTCATCTATGCTAGAATCGGTGACCTGGGCTGCTCCTGACAGTCTGAGATCCTCAACCTGCAGGACGCCAGGTGATGGTATGGCGTTAGTGCTGCTTATATGGTTAGGGGAAAGAGGGGAAGGGTAGTTGAGAGGAAAGAGGGGGAGGGGAGGGTAAGTGAGGGGAAAGGGGGGAGGAAAGAGGGGGGAGGGAGGGGGAAAGTGAAAGAAAAGGAAGGGGGGAGAGGAAGGTAGGTGGGGAAAGGAGGGAGAGGAGGGGAAAGGAGGGAGAGGAGGGTAAAAGAGGGAGGGGAGGGTAAGTAAGAGGAAAGGGGGAATGGGGGTAGGTGAAGGAAAGGTGGGAAAGGGATGGTAAGTGAGAGGAAAGGAGGGAGAAGAGGGTAGGTGAGGAGAAAGAGGGGGATGGAAAGTAGATAAGGGGAAATAAGGGGAGGTGAGGGAAGATTGGGTGATGGTGAAAGTAAAGGTCAATCAGTGAGAGGATATTGAGGGTCAACTAGTGAGGTAAAAATGATAAATAACAAAGTAAAAGATGCGTCAAGGCCTTGGCCACAGTAATACCTTAATACATCACTATAATAAACATTATTATAACATTCTACTTTAGTTTAATACACACTAACGTTAACTTTCTCGACCTTATATCTTATCGACTTAACTACGGTACTAAAGTGAGTGTGTGTGTGTGTGTGTGTGTGTAATCAAGGTAAGGTTTACCTGTGTTAGAGCGCCCTGGGACAGCGCCTGAGTCAGATGCTCGTCGGTGAGGTGTTTACAGGAGCCCAGGTCGAGGCTGGAGGCTCCACTCGCCCACACCACCGCCCACACCACCACCAGAGGGTCTATCTCGTGGCTCATGGTGGGCGGCGTCATTATACGTAGACTCTCCAATTTCGAGGTGGGCGTAGGCGGCGGCGGTTCGGGGAGTGTGGGCGTGACGCCTTCTAGGTAGAGGTGGGTGAGGGCGGGGCAGGTGTGGGCGAGGTTGGCCAGCTGTAGAGGGCGGGGGTCGAGCAGCGACAGGTGTAGGTAGGTGAGACAGGGCACGGGAGAGGAGGGCAGCCAGTTCTCCCTCACCGGCACGAACTGCACCAGCGTGAGGGCCGTGAGTGAAGGCACCGCCTCCACCACCTGCCCCACACTGAGGATTTCCGTGGGTCGACGAGCCACCAGGGAGGTCAACTGGGGGCAGAGGGAAGCCACTGGGGGCAGTGGCGGTAATGGCACCTCTGCCAGTAGTAGCTGAGAGAGGGCCAGCGGCGCAGAACGTCCGCCCCGCACCACCAGGTCCAGCGCCTCGCCTGACCAGCGACAGGTGAGGGCGGAGAGGTTGGCGCAGGAGGAGAGCAGGTGAACACAACCTCGGGTCGTCACTCCCGTGTCCCACAAGTTAACGGTGTGGATGGTGGTGGCGGGCTTCTGCTTCACGCTCTCCCCACCGCCCTCCATCACCTCCCTCATGGTGCGGGCGTCTCCCGTCAGGCCCAGCAAGGCCCGCACACCCTTGTCGGTAACAGCGGGGCAATAGGACACGTCCAGGGTGTCCAGTGGTGGAGCGGCGTCCGCCAAGGCTGTCAGGTGGGCGTCGGTGGCGGCGGGCGTTAGGGTGAGAGAGGTGAGGATGGTCATGCCCCTTAGCGCCTCACACAGCAAGCCACCGAGGGCAGTTCGCGGCCCCAGTGTGAGTGTGAGGGAGGTGACGTGGGCGGGATGGGCGTCCAGCGCCTCCAGCACCGCCCGTATGAGTGTTGGGTGTTCGAGGTGCACCTCCAGGCGACTGACCCCGGCCGTAACAGCGGCCACCGCCAGCCGCGCCACCGCCGCCTCCCTCAGTCCCGTTGCTCCCTGGCACAGCGCCGCCGTCAGCAGTGCAGGGGGCGCCCTCAGGGGGGCATGAACCCCTTCCCCACGCCCAACGGCTGTGTTCAATGCCCGCAGCCATGCACACAGAGCCCCGGCCTCAAGACGCTCCGGCGCCCGCACTCCCACCATCCTGCAACACCAACAACACTGTCTCAACACACATTCATCCAACAGTCACCTATTGGCCCCAACACCCGTCATCCAACAGTCATATGACAGTCATCAAGTGTCCCCAACACCCGTCATCCAACAGTCATATGACAGTCATCAAGTGTCCCCAATACCCGTCATCCAACAGTCATATGACAGTCATCAAGTGTCCCCAACACCCGTCATCCAACAGTCATATGACAGTCATCAAGTGTCCCCAACACCCGTCATCCAACAGTCATATGACAGTCATCAAGTGTGTCATCCAACAGTCATATGAATCAAGCCACCCGTCATCCACAGTCATATGACAGTCATCAAAGTGTCATCCCAGTCATATGACAGTCATCAACCCGTCATCCAACAGTCAACAGTCATCATGACAGTCATCAAGTGTCCCCAACACCCGTCATCCAACAGTCATATGACAGTCATCAAGTGTCCCCAACACCCGTCATCCAACAGTCATATGACAGTCATCAAGTGTCCCCAACACCCGTAAGTCAGGTCACACCGGCTCTCCCGTGCAGTGATCACTTCACAAACTCAACCTAACCTAACTTAACCTACCGTCAAAATATAATATGAAACACAATTATACATATAAATGAGGTAAAATACTTAACTCTGTTACCCCAGTATAGTATTTATAAGATATAACACTCAATATAACACTACTCTTGGATATACTGATCCACGTACACAACATATGTTAGTCATGTAGGGGTGAATATAGTGTATGAGATCAGGCTATACGCTCATATACTGATCCACCTACACAACATATGTTAGTCATGTAGGGGTGAATATAGTGTATGAGATCAGGCTATACGCTTATACGCACATAACTTATATACTTATTAGAGCTATACATTTTTTACTGATGGCTACATTACCTATGTGGATAATTTAAAGGTGTTCTTCCACCTCTTCATCTCCATATAGTGTCTGGTTCTCTCCACATGGGCTCCACCGTGACCACTTGTAAACACGAAACAGCTGATCGTAGCAGACAACTGAGGCTCTCGCTGTATGGATCAATAAACACTAGAGAAAACGGACCCGACCTGAAGTATTCACGGGGTAACTACGCTATCTGGATTAATGTTATAATTTTATCGCAACATATGCAATAAATGCCATATAGCGTATGTAAACCCAATGGCGGGATAACTTGTTAGATATATAACGTAAAAAAAATAGAGTTACGTAAGATGGAGATTCTGAAAGATAATTTTGAATTTAATGTTACTTAAGTCATTTGTCATTACGAACACAGACGATTTTTATATAGGTTTAAAAGGCATGATTAATAAAGCTATACTAAAGGGCCTGGGATGATGGTATGACTTTGGATTACCGATAAAGTTAACAAGGAAAAGAATAAAGTAAAAATACGACGAATTCTGATCATATTCCCAATCCCAGCCTCGTGTATCATGGAGACTGTCACTAGCATCCAGTCCATGAAGTAGCGGGCGAATTAGCCAAGTGTTAAATGAAATTAAGGTCGAGTATCCGTGGCAACGTTTAGTGGTAAGTCCGTACAGAACTACGTACGGGAGGGAGAACTACTCCCTCCCTCCCTCCCTCCCTCCCTCCCTACCTTCCTTCTGTCCGTCCGTCCTCCCTCCCTCCCTCCCTCCTTCCCTCCCTCCCTCCCTCACCCCCACGAGTACTGAGGGTGTAATCGTGAGGTGTGACCACGCCTGGATGAGGTCCTTTCACGGTACAAGGGACAAACGCTCATTATCCCTCCAACACCTTCCTGTACCACTGCCTCCACTACCACCATCACCTTTATCTTTTCATTATCCCTTTCTCCTGCTTCCACGTTCCCTCACATCTCTCTCATCCACTACTACACTCATCTCTTTCATCTCGATTAATGTTTTTACTCATTCTACCCTCTTACTCATTCTCCTCCTCCTTTTCCTACTTCTCTTCCCTCTCATTCTTCCTCCTCCTCTTCGTTCTTTAAGCTTCTCTCCCTTCATTTCCCTCTCACTCCCCTCATCTCACTCCCCTCATCTCTCTCCCCTCATCTCTTCAGCGTCTCCCCCCTCACCCCCCTCTTCCTCCGCCGTTCCCTAGGACACCTGTCTGGGGGAATTTTTAATTAATTCCCCAATAAATACAGAGACATGACAGCCAGACCGACAGACGTACGCCTCCCCTAGTTCTTATTTTCGCGACCTGGGGAGAGGAGGGGAGAGGAAGGAGGGGTGAGGAGGAGGGGTGGGAAGGAAGAGTGGGGAGAGGAGGGATGGGGAGGGAAGGTAAGGAAAGAGGGGTGGGGAGAGGCGAGGTAGGGGAGGAGGGGCGGAGAGGTGGGGAGGAAGAGTGAGGAGGGATGAGGGAGGAAGTGTGGGCAGAGGAGGAGTGGGGAGAAGGGAGAGAATGCACCTTCGTCCCCTTCTTCCAGAACAGGATCTTAACCCTCCCCTCCCCTCACCTCCCCTTCCCTCCTCTGTATCACATAAAACTTCACACAGAAAGAATATCTCATAAAGATTAGGCACCCCAGCTTATTTCACCTAACCTAACCTAACCTAATGAAACCTAATCTAACCAGCCATGACCTAATCAAACATAACATAACATAACCTAGCCTAACCTAACCAAACCTAACTTCATCCCATCCATTTAGCATTAAGATGTCGAAACTACCACGTAAAATATAATAAGCTGTGGTTCCTAATCTTCCTGAAATACAAAATATATCCTTTTACTCTTCGCCGCAGCTGCACATAAAAAAAAATATGTCAGGACACTCGCAGCATCACAAGGTTTCAATTTACTCTAAAGACACCCCTCTCCTCCCTCTCCCCTACCATCACACAGAGAGCGGGAGGCTATAAGTAACGTGATATGTGCGTCCCCGGGATAGACAAGTCCTCGCAGGTGACACCATAAACAAACACTGTAATAGGATTAGTAGCTTTGTGAACCCCGAGTAGAGTATTGGATCCGACCCCCACCAACCGACCCTCTCCCTCTGCTTCCCTTTCCCCCATTAGTCGTGTCTCTTAATATCCACAGCTACTATACAACACGGACTGGATAGGGTGGGTGGGTGGGTGGGTGGGTGGTGGGTGGGGAGAGGAGTGTCTGTAATCCTATTATTGGAACTACACGTAATGAGATATTGAAGGTTTGTTGTCATTATATACACCACCTAAACTGTGTCTGTATGCAGTATATTACCTACACTGTGTACACAAACTATACTGTGTCTGTATATACTACCTACACTGTGTACACGACCTAAACTGTGAGGACACTGTTGGTTGGATACAATAGGTGGTACAGGAAACACAACAATGGTGAGAAAAAAAAATGGACAAACTAGACACATCATAACTGTGGGACAAACATATTCAGTATTAACAGACTACAAAACATAACCACCATTGTACAGTGTTAGTACAGTGTTAGTATAGGAGGAAACTTTAGTACCCGGAGAAAACCTGTTATGTTACATCATGTCACACTGGATAACACCCTTCTCACCTCTGACCCATACCGGGGACTCAACCCAGGACACATTAGTGACAATATTTAAATAAACATCCAGATAAATCGTCATTTATTTCCCTGTAACCTGACACACACACCTACATCAGCCGGGACACACACACACCTACAGCAGCCGGGACACACACACACACCTACAGCAGCCGGGACACACACACACCCACAGCAGCCGGGACACACACAGCCGGGACACACACACACCTACAGCAGCCTGGGACACACACACACACCTACAGCAGCCGGCAGCCGGGACACACACACACACCTACAGCAGCCGGGACACACACACACCTACAGCAGCCGGGACACACACACACACCTACAGCAGGACACACACACACACCTACAGCCGGACACACACACACACCTACAGCAGCAGGACACACACACACACCTACAGCAGCCGGGACACACACACACACCTACAGCAGCCGGGACACACACACACACACCTACAGCAGGGACACACACACACACACCTACAGCAGCCGGGACACACACACACACAGCAGCCGGGCCAGCCGGGACACACACACACCTACAGCAGCGGGACACACACACACACCTACAGCAGCCGGGACACACACACACACCTACAGCAGCGGGACACACACACACACACCTACAGCAGCCGGGACACACACACACACCTACAGCAGCCGGGGACACACACACACCTACAGCAGGGACACACACACACCTACAGCAGCCGGGACACACACACACACCCTACAGCACTGGACACACACACACACCTACAGCAGCGGGACACACACACACACCAGCAGCCGGGACACACACACACACCTACAGCAGCCGGGACACACACACACACCTACACAGCAGCCAGGACACACACACACCTACAGCAGCCGGGACACACACACACACACCTACAGCAGCCGGGACACACACACACACCTACAGCAGCCGGGACACACACACACACAGCAGCTACACAGCAGCGGGACACACACACACCTACAGCAGGACACACACACACAGCCTACAGCAGCCGGGACACACACACACCCACAGCACACACACACACACTACAGCAGCGGACACACACACACACCTACAGCAGCGGGACACACACACACCTACAGCAGCCGGGACACACACACAATGGTGAGCATCAGGACAGTGACCCCCCCGTGGTCAGCTGTGAGATGTAAACACTGGATTCAACCCTTGGCAGCATGTGGTGGCTTAGAGGTGCGTCCACAGGTGTTGTGCCTCAATATTTGTGCACTCACAGTACACACCTGGGGGAGACATGAGGGGTGAAGGACACAGGTGAGGGACACAGGTGAGGGACACACGAGGGTTCCTCCCTGCCTTCTCCCTCTTCTCCCTCCTTCCACTTCCCTCCTCCCTACCTCCCTCCCTATTCCTTACCCTTCCCTCCTCCCTCATTCACTCCACCACTCCTCCCCCCTCCTCCCAACACCCCTCATTCACGTGTTCACCCATAACGAATCCGTGCATAGGGTAACTGATAACCAAGACACAGAGTAATGGATAATCAATGCCTAAAATAATGGATAAATAATGAACAATATAATGGACAATTAGCACAACAGAGAGCGGATATCAGGTATATAAAGTAACGGATATCTAATGCATAAAATAGCGGATATCCAGAACATAAGAAAACATATATCCAGTTCACATACTAGTGGATATTCCATACATAAAATAGCGGATATCCAGTGTATTAAGAGAGCGGATATCCAACACATAAAAGCGGATAACCAGAGTAGATATCATCACCTAGATATATTCATCAGGATAAAGGAGTAAATTGTTTTATAGGGGGTAGTTAGAGGGGCGCGGCTGGTCTGAGGGGAACAATAGCTCCGTCACATTAGAATTTGCTGCCACGTTGACCCATTTCACGGTGAGGGGAGCGGCCCGCGGCTGCCCTCGTCACGTCACAATACAACCCGTTCTAATATTTTTTTTCGTAGTTGCCTGAAATTGTTGTCTAATTACTCGAAAAATATTGAATTAAATGATCTTTTCTTTGTGATAAAATATGAATTAAAGGTAATATTTCTTATTCGAATATGAGCGATGGATGGTGTAAATAAGATAGAAATTAAAGAAAATAAAATTATATGACGTACGGTGTGTTTTGAGTCGTGACGTCTCCTTTCTAAAAATAAAAAAATAAAATAATAATATTCCATAAATTCTATATCTTTTCGTTGTTAATGATGAAGCGACAAAAACAAAAATAGTTTGTAAAAGAACAGAACGTATTTTGCACCGTGACGTCACAAGATGGAGGCGAGGCAGCAGCTGGTGAGGCCACGTGCGGGGGAGAGGAGAATGATGAGCCTGGCGAGGAGCTCGACCGTGAAAACTGCCATTATGTGAAACTGCCGCTTGTTAATGCCTCCTGCAGCACCCCGAGTCGGCCACCACGCTGAGCTGTGATGGCAGACTTACCTTTCACTGAGTGTGTGTGTGTGTGTGTGTGTATGACAGGTGTGGCACTCATCGTTTAGTGCCACCGTGTTATGACGTCCTGATGAACTTGTTTAAAACATGATAAAGAATTACAAAAGAAAATATTACCGTTAAACAAATGTAAATAAACAAGAAAGGCCATTAAAGTCTAAACAACAACAACAACAACAATAATAATAATAATAATAATAATAATAATAATAATAATAATAATAATAATAATAATAATAATAATAATAATAATAATAACAATAATAATAAAATAGTAAAACATAAAAGCAGCACCACCACCACACCACCATCATTCTTGCAGCACCACCACTGCAGCACAACCACTATCCTTGCAGCACCACCACCACACCACCACCATTCATGCAGCACCACCACTGCAGCACAACCACTATCCTTGCAGCACCACCACCACACCACCACCATTCATGCAGCACCACCACTGCAGCGACCACTATCAGCACGCACCACCACCACACCATCATTCTTGCAACACCACCACTGACCACTATCCGCACCACCACGCACCATCATTCTTGCAGCACCACCACTGCAGCACGACCACTATCCTTGCAGCACCACCACCACACCACCATCATTCTTGCAACACCACCACTGCAGCACGACCACTATCATACAGCACCACCACTATCCTCCAGCACCATCAGCAGCACCACCAAGCAGCACCATCAGCAGCACCACCAAACAGCACCATCAGCAGCACCACCAGCACCATCAGCAGCACCACCAAGCAGCACCATCAGCAGCACCACCAAGCAGCACCATCAGCAGCACCACCAAGCAGCACCGCCAGCAGCACCGCAAGCAGCAGCAGCACCACCAAAGCAGCACCATCAGCAGCACCACCAAGCAGCACCATCAGCAGCACCACCAAGCAGCACCAGCGGCACCACCAACAGCACCATCAGCAGCACCACCAGCAGCACCATCAGCAGCACCACCAAGCAGCACCGCCAGCAGCACAGGCCAGAGCAGCATCCTGACAGCCAGGTTATTGCGCCTAGACCAAACAAGACTTAGTTCTTTAATTACAGTACCATTTGCATGTTGGATGTCGTGAGATGTAAATTGTATAGCTAGGCTGGGTGGAGGCCCTGGGTGGAGGGTGGAGGCGTTTGGGTGGAGGGAGAAGGGGGAGGTGTTGGGGAGAAAGGGGGAGGTGTTGGGGCAGAAAGGGAGGTGTTGGGGTAGAAGAAGGGAGGTGTTGGGGCAGAAGAAGGGGAGGTGTTGGGGCAGAAGAAGGGGAGGAGAAGAGGTGTTGGGGCAGATGCTAGGTGGTGGAGGCGTTGGGTGGAGGGAGAAGGTGAAGGCAGAAGAAGGGGGAGGTGTTGGGGTAGAAGAAGGGGGAGGTGTTGGGGCAGAAGAAGGGGGAGGTGTTGGGGCAGAGAGGGGAAGGAGGCGGCGCTAGGTGGAGGAGAGAGGAAACAGCTAGCTCGCCCGGCCGCCGCTACTCCCACCAAATAAACTCAAATTGTTCCCCTTACTGTGTGCACTGGGCTGTTATCCCAGTAATGACCCGTTCTCTCCTCCCCGCACGGCCGCCTCTGTAAAAATAACAGTTTAATTTAACCCAGTTCATTGGTCATTTACATGCCTTGTTCACTTTTTACAGCCACGGCGGAAGTTTTTTTCTATCGCTACACCCCCCCCCATCTAGTCCACCTCCCTGTGCCATATTGTTGTGGACAGGTTTCAGTCTTTAGTTCTCCCAAGGCTATGAATATTCAGCGTTTAATTTTGTAAGTTGTAAGTTCATGGCCGTAGCGGCGTGATATTAAACTCCGCTCGCATCTCTTTAAGAAATATATAACGAGAAATGTAGACCAAAACAGATAGAAGAGAGATAACACTAATTTTATATCTTAGTAGTTACATTCAGCAGACATTTATCATAATTATTACCACAAGTCATCGTTCGCATCATAAATTCATAAGCCACAGACATGAAAGAGAAGGGATCGAGCACACGTGTCGTCCGTCCGCCGCTTGTTATGGTAATGAGACAAAAGAGCATCGTGGGTACCCGCCAAGGCCGTCTCGCAGATTCATAATATACAATCGTCTATGATCCCCTTCCTACACACTGTATCCATTATTCATTTGTCAATATATAAAACACATTCTAAATAGCACACAAGATGTCCCCTTATATAAATCACGTTATTCATTTGTTAATTTATAAAACACGTTCTCATAAACGTATAGAATTTCTCTCGTAAAATGAATCACACTAATGGTAGCGAGGTGAACATAATATGGTACCTTGTATATTCAAACTACTGCTCTGGTTCATCTAATTAAACATATATTATGAAGAAAAAGCCAAATAATTTCTTACTCTGGATCTATGTTAAAAGTAAAAGTTTGTTCCACCATTGTCAGCAACTTTGGACACTGTGAAGGAGAGGATAGATGAGATGCTAGAGAAATTCACTCTGATGTGATATAAAATGTATCGAGGGAGGAACATTACTGTACCACTGTGATGTGTAAAGAACTCCCCACTATCGCAGCTACAACCAATAGTAATACCCCACTATCGCAGCTACAACCAATAGTAATACCTCACTAACGCAGCTACAACCAATAATAATACCTCACTAACGCAGCTACAACCAATAATAATACTTCACTAACGCAGATACAACCAATAATAATACCTCACTAACGCAGCTACAACCAATAATAATACCTCACTAACGCAGCTACAACCAATAATAATACCTCACTAACGCAGCTACAACCAATAATAACGCAGCTACAACCTAACGCAGCTACAACCAATAATAATACCTCACTAACGCAGCTACAACCAATAATAATACCTCACTAACAGCTACAACCAATAATAATACCTCACTAACGCAGCTACAACCAATAATAATACCTCACTAACAGCTAAACCAATAATAATAAATCACAACGCAATACAACCAATAATACCTCACTAACGCACTGACAATAATAATACCTCACTTCCTACAACCAATAATAACTAACGCAGCTACAACCACCACTAACACAGATACAACAATAATAATATCACTAACGCAGCTACAATAATAATAATACCTCACTAACGCGAATACAACCAATAATAATGCTCACTAACGCGGCTGCAACCAATAATAATACACCAACGCAGCCACAACCAATATAATACTAACAGCCACAACCATAATAATGCCCCCCCAACGTAGCCACAACCAATAATAATACCTCACTAACGCAGCTACAACCAATAATAATACCTCACTAACGCAGCTACAACCAATAATAATACTTCACTAACGCAGCTACAACCAATAATAATACCTCACTAACGCAGCTACAACCAATAATAATACCTCACTAACGCAGCTACAACCAATAATAATACCTCACTAACGCAGCTACAACCAATAATAATACCTCACTAACGCAGCTACAACCAATAATAATACCTCACTAACGCAGCTACAACCAATAATAATACCTCACTAACGCAGCTACAACCAATAATAATACCTCACTAACGCATCTATGATAAATTTTTAATCAAGACATATTAAAATTATGTATAAAATTGAGACTTTACATCAATTAAACTGACTCATATAAATACAAATAGAAACCAAAATTAACCGCTAAAACTTTTCTTCCTAATACAAAAAAATAATAAACAAGGAATAAAAAAGAAATAATCGATTAACGAAGAAGAGAAACAGAGGAATGATAAAGGATAAATTAGGGAGGAGGCGGAGAGGGACGAGAACATGTAGAAAATGTATTGAATCTTATCTCAATGTTTTACTGTATGACCCTGTGTGTGTGTGTACTCTCTCTCTCTCTCTCTCACCAGTTGATTTCATCCCCTCCCTCTCTCCTCCCCTCTCTCTCCCTCTATACAGCATCCCTCTCTTTATCTCTCCCTGACTTGTGCCTCCCTCTTTATCAGCGTTATCCCCTTATCCTTATCTCTCCTCACCCTCCCCTCTTTGTCTCCCCTCATTTCCCTTTACCTTATACCTGTGAATCTATCTCCCCTCACTTCCTTCCCCTCCAACCCTCCTTCCCCCTCCCTCCCACCTCCTCCCACCTCAATCAATTCTTTAATTCTTCCTCCCTCCTCCCCTCACCACAGGCTTAATCCCTGCCCTTCCTCTCCCCACACTCCATCCCTCCCCACCTTACAGTCCACTCCCCCCCTTGTCCCACCCCCATCCCTTTCCCCTACCATGATCCCTCCCTTCCCCTCTCTCCCACCCTTCTGCCCTCCTCCTCTCCCACCTCCTCATCCCTCTCACTCTCCCCATCCTCCCCACCTCACCCTCCCACTCCCCTCACAGCCCTCCTCACCCTCCCACTCCCTCCCTCACAGCCCCTCTCACCTCCAACTCCCCCTCCCACCCTCACATCCCTCCCACCCTCACTCTCCCCTCCCCACAACCCTTCCCTCACTTTTAACTATCAACAAAATCGCGTGTGTTCGGTCTTTAGCGTCGTTTAACTTTGCATTTTAATTGAAAGCGAATAAAAGGCGGTGTTTCCTTTGTCGCGCCGCCCTGGGAAACTTGCCGAATACCAGAACCCGCTGCCAAAAACCTCGCCACTCGCCTCTTACTGAAAATTGACTTTGAAAATAGAGCGAAACGTGGGAAAGAGAGAGAGAGAGAGAGAGAGGGGGAGATAGTGTGTGTGTGAGAGAGAGAGAAAGAGAGACGGACGAAGAAAGAGACAGGAGACAGAGTGTAAACAAAGAAACGGATAGAGAGAAAAATACTAAAAACAGAGAGAGAGAGAGAGAGAGAGAGAGAGAGAGAGAGAGAGAGAGAGAGAGAGAGGCAGGTAGCGGGTACAAATATTATTATTTCTTACACACTCTCTACTCTTTTAAAAATGTTATAATAATAGTAAGTTGAGGTCCTATTATTATTATTATTATTATTATTATTATTATTATTATTATTATTATTATTATTATTATTATTATTATAGGTGAATATATTTGAGACCGACAAATATTTACATCGTATCCTTTACCAGGTAACAACAGGTCATACCCCCAGGTCACGACAACAGGTCATACCCCTAGGTCACGACAACAGGTCATACCCCCAGGTCACGACAACAGGTCATACCCCCAGGTCACGACACAGCAGGTCATACCCCCAGGTCACGACAACAGGTCATACCCCCAGGTCACGACAACAGGTCATACCCCCAGGTCACGACTGCAGGTAACATCAGGTCCCCCGACAGGTAACACGAGGAGGATCATATTAATTATTACCTGACTGAGCTTCCCTGAGACCACTCAACCTTATATATTGGATGCTGGATATTACCACTATTACCTCCCTCTACCTACCACTATTACCTCCCTCTACCTACCACTATTACCTCCCTCTACCTACCACTATTACCCCCACTCACCACTATTACCCCCACCTACCACTATTACCTCCCCCACCTACCACTATTACCCCCTCTACCCACCACTCATTACCTCTGTCTACCACTATTACCTCCCACCTCCATTACCTCTATCACCACTTCATTATCCTCTCCCTCTACTTCCACACTTCATACCTCCTCTACCTCCTCCATTACCCACTTACCTACTACTATTACTCCTCTACCTACCACTATTGTCTCCTCTACCTACCACTATTACCTCCTTTCACTCTCCTCCATTACTATGTGTGTGGCGAGTGACTTATTACACACACCTTCACCTGGGGCACCTGTACCATACCTAGCTTTGTGGGCACACACACACACACACACACACACACACACACACACACATGCACACACACACACACACACGGCTTATACATTTACAAAGTACAAAAAAAAATAATAATAATTAATCAGATGAAGAAAATGATTCTCTGAATATGTTTGTTGTGGTTGATAAGCTTGGTGAGGAGGAACAGGAAGAGGAGATGACGGAGGAAGAGATGGAGGAGGAGATGGAGGAAGAAGAGGAGGAACAGGAAGAGGAGGAACAGGAGATGACGGAGGAAGAGATGGAG